ATATATATATATATATATATATATATATATATATAAAAGAGAAAGAGAGAGAGAGAGAGAGAGAGTGGTCAGAAGCTTTGATACAAGCGCCCAACTAATCTCCTATACCTAACCACTCACTGATTCGCAGGCCAGCAGAATTGAACCCCCGACCCCAACGGATTTAGAATATTTTACTGGTACTTATAAAGATAGAGGAGAAGAAATCAAATTACTCTTATAAAAACTCAGAAGCCTTGCACTTACTCATTTCATGTGGTACAAATATGTTTTTTTAGGAATGGTAATGAATCTACCTAAAGTCATTCATAATCATTGGATACAAAAATTTATACAAAGTCTTCATAATCTCTTCGCTGAAAGAGTTAAGAAAAAGAGTGCATGCTATTATATATGAAATCCTTTCAAATGAAAAAAAAATATTAATGTTTGCATTTAAACAAATCTTGAGTTATGTTCAGACATTAAACTTTAAAAATAACATAAATGAGAAAGGTTCTTAGTATTATATATGAAATCCTTTCAAATGAAAAAAAAATTATTAATGTTTGCATTTAAACAAGTCTTGAGTTATGTTCAGACATCAAACTTAAAAAATAACATAAATGAGAAAGGTTCTTACAGTAAAAATAATTTAGAGCATTTTACGAATAATTTGTTTGTGAAAATCACCTTGAAAAGGCCATAAAAAATAATTCCCAGAGAATCGTACAAAAACCGATCATCCTAAAATAAAACATAAACATTACAAGAACTATCAAGATAAAACCACTATATCTAAATACATATTGAAAAAGAATGGCCAACGTCTATGATACGAGCTCCCAATCAACATCATATGCCTAACTACTCCACTGATCCGCACAACAGTGAAATTGAATCCCGACCTCAGAGAATTTAGAACTGACATAACAGACGTCAATCAAAGAGTTGGAGAACACCACGCAACCACTATATATTTACAATGAAGTGGGCCCCAGGTCTTGTCTCGGAGGAGGCCAGTGAACTAAGCGAAGAAATAACAGATACCTGAAAACGGGACAAAATTTTGGCATAATTAGTAATTAAAGTTTAGAGAAATTCTTATAAGTTAGGTGGTATAGCCCGACTTTTTTGGTCGAAAAGGAGGGATTTTTTTTTTGGTTTTTTGCCATTCTGCGATCCTCTTCGGATTCTTATGGCCACGTTCTTCTTTCGCTCCTTCACGTTGTCGCAGACGTAGACGTCGTCGTCTTCGTCTTGATTCCTTCTACAACAACTGGCGAGTTTGGCCGATGGGGAGCGGAGTCCATTGAATGGCCGAAGGTTGGTTTCTTATAACGCTGATTTCAATAGCTTTTGTTTCTGATGCCATAGAAGAGACCACTGGTTAAGAGGAGTTTTTTATTTTTTTCCTCTGTTGCTTGGATTGATTAAGAAAACCTTGAAATCTTATGCTTGATATCTGGAGTTGGTGTCAGTCCCAAGAAATTGAGCAATGGCTTATTCCTCGACTCTCCGTTATTTTCTCACAAATCCATGTGATATGCTGAGTAACTTGGTATTTTGGTTTTGTGGTGGATTGATTTGTTCAACTCAACAGCACATGGGCTATGAATGAGATTCCCTCTTTCTCATGGTAGCCTCGTGGGAGATGGTTGTAGTGTTTTGTTTTCTCACCACCACCATATAATTCCAAGGATCCAATGTTTTCCATGTTGTTTTCGTTGATTCGAGGTTTTAAAATCTTGTCCTTCTTCATCTAGTCTTTATTACCAGGAAGCAGCTCAATTCAACATTTTGCTTATGAGCTCCATGTGCTAGGAATTCCATTCTTTAATGAGATTCTCTTGAATCTGCATCATATCTCAAAGAAATATGAGCTCTGTTGGTTAATTGTATCCTTTCCATTTGATTCTGCTTTTCGCATTTTGCAAGAATGCTAAAGATTTATGTGGTCCATTGCTTATAACTGAAGCACTGATGCAATGAAGGGTGATCATGTATTGCATATTAATGGTCTTTGAGGGCAGAGAAGATGGCAGCATTGGTCCCAGGTGTTCTTATCAAACTACTCCAGTACATGACCACAGATGTAAAGATTGCTGGCGAGCATCGCTCCTGTCTTCTTCAGGTTGTCAGCATAGTTCCTGCACTTTCTGGTGGTGAACTTTTCCCCAATAAAGGATTTTATCTCAAGGTCTCTGATTCCCGCCATGCTACTTTCGTTTCTCTTCCCGATGAGCACGATGACCTGATCTTGAGTGATAAGATACAACTTGGTCAGTTTATCTATGTTGATCGACTGGAGGCAGCTTCTCCAGTGCCCGTGATTCGTGGCGTAAGGCCGGTCCCGGGACGCCGTCCTTGTGCAGGAAACCCTGAGGATATTGTGGACACTCGTAGTTTCCTTAATGGCCCTATGGGTGCTGTTAACCCTCCATCGGCTAAGGATAAAAGCATCTTGGCGAAGGTAAATGGAATTTCGAAAGTTGAAGAATTAGCGAAGAAGGAAGCATCTCTTAGAATGTCCACTTCTTCACCGTCGAAACAGTATCTGCGTAATACTGTGGAGAAGAAGCAAACATGTTATGAGAGGTCAAGCTCAATGAGTTCAAGATCAATCTCGTCGTCTTCTACAAGCTCCCAGTCTATTCCGGTAACATTTGAAAAACTTCCCAATGGAGTTAAGCAGCTTGCAAATGTTAAAGGGGCGGATAAGTCATCTAATCCAAGAATGAACTTGTTGGAGAGAGGAACATCTGCTCAGAAGGCAACTGGTACTGGAAGGAAGCCATCTGTTGCAAATTCAGTAGGAAATCTGAAGCCAGGGATTGAGCTGGGGCCTAAAGATTCGAGAAAGGGTTGGGAAGAGGGGAGTAGTGTGGAAACAAAGGGAAGGGGTGAGGCAAATCCTAAGTCGTCCAAGATTGAAAAGAAAACTGAAGTATGTAGCTCTTCGGTGAGTCTTCCTTATTGTGCATGATTTGAGTTTATTTTCCTTGGATTTACATGATAAGAAGGGTTTTTGAAAAGTCATCCACTAGTTAATTTATGTTTGCAGTGACATTTGAAAGTTTATTTATAATCAGAAGGACCTAATAGTCAATAGTAGCTATTAGAAAATGAGTTTTGCAAAGATGCTAGAAATATTCGTAGATTTTCATTCATCATATAATCTTTCATTATTTGCAGCATCCTCAAAGAAAATCATCATCAGTTGAGAGGCTGTTGCCTAAAGAAGAAAGTAAGGCTTTAAGGCCCCTGAAAAAAGGCAATCTAAATGCTTTGGAGAATGTTGACATGTCAAAGAAGCAACGAGCTTCCTCTCTAAAAACAATGTCCGAAGCCGTTAATACTAACAATATTTCCTCTGGTAATCTTGTAAAGGTTTTTCCCAATAGCAGGAGGATGACAGACGGAAGCATTTCTTGGTCATCTCTCCCTCCAACTCTGGTGAACCTTGGAAAGGTATTATAACATGTGCTGTTACATGATTAGATTCTTATTATTTTGTTTCCTTCTAAATTTCCAGCCTTTTTCTTTCTATAATGTTATTTGTTTGGGCATATATATTGCACATGTCTGGTATATTCCATTATAGTCCTCTTATGTTTTACTCTTTGTTATAGGATGTGCTCAAGTTTAGGGATGCTGCACAACAAGCTGCTATTGAGGCACTGCAAGAGGCATCTGCAGCAGAAAGCTTAGTTCGGTGCTTAAGGTGATATGCCTAATTATGCCCAAGTTTAAAACTTTAATCAAGGCTTGCTTCTTTGATTTCCTTACCTTTTCGGGGCAGGATTTCTTTTGTCTAGTTACTCGGCTTGGTAAAGAGTATGATTGATCTATGCATCCAAAATCAATTATTACGGTGCTGTTTGGGATTATTTTTATTTTTTATTTTTATTTTATTTTGCTTAAGTTTTAACTTGAAATAAAACATGTTTAGATTGTGCAAAATACATCAACCTATTTTTAAGAATATTCGGAAGAACTTTTGGTTGTTTTGGGTGTATTTAAACAAAAAAAGAAATTAAAGGAGAAAATAAATCATATGACAAAATATACTAAACAAATATAAGTTAAAAAGTAAAAGTGCTAGCAAAAATAAAAGTAAAAATAAAATTGTTTCTAAGTAAATCCTAAGTATCTCTAGATTATACGAAATCCCAATTCTCTCCTAACAGAGCGGTAAACTATAAGAAAAGCAATGTATAATTTCTCTATAGAAATATCTTAAAGGTCATTTTAATTGTTTTGACGAGCTGCAAGTGACCTAATTGCAGCATTTTGACATGGCATCTTATATTCATATAAATCTCCTTGTGTCCTTTTGAATGGTGAACAACCAATATGAACGTTTAAAATCTGAGAAACAGAACTGAATTTTTGGAAGAATGAGTGTCTATCAATTACGCTTGAGAACCCAAGTAAGGACATTTGGCTTTTAAATCTGTGTTGTTATTATGCTTTAATAGCCATGTCGATAAAAAGAGTTGTTGAAATTCTACTCCAATGGTAACAATGAACTTAAGGCACATGGATCGAGGTCTGTAAGGTTAGATCAAGGCTTACAAATCAAGGTTTTATACTGTTAGATCATGGCACATGGATCGAGGCTCTATAATGCTAGATTAAGGCACATGGATCGAGACTGTATGCCATTATATTTGTCTCCTTATGACTCGCGGATTGCAATTCGTGTGTTTTTTCATAGGATCTTTGTGCCTTTAATATTTCTTCTCCTTCACGGATCTTAGATTCATAGGCCACTGACCACATTACAAATCCGGTTAATACATTTCAAACTCTCAAACCTTGTCTTAATAATAGGAAAATAGAAGCTGCAGATGGATCTTTAAAAACTATTCATAAACAGGGATATATTTTATTTCTCCAAATTTCACCCTCAGTAATATATTATGTCTAAATTTATCCATTCACAAATTTACTAAAAATCTCAACAACAAAATCATATTTTTTTATTAATTATTGTATTTTCCAACAACTAACTACGAGAAATATGATTGGACAAAGCTATATAAAAAGATGGGTTATAATTTCTTGAAGATCGAGGTCAATTGTTATATGCCTTTAGATCTATCGTTATATATTATGAGATTTTTCTATTAAAAATTTTCATTGTATGTTTTCTTCGCTTTTTTATAAATACAATAATTAAATATTTCCATTGTCAAACTCACGAAATTGATAAACATCATTGTGTTTCCCTTCCTGAAACTAACTCTAGATCTTTTAGTTTTTTTATGTTAATTTATTTTGATATCTGGGAACCCTTTAAAATTCATAATACATTTGGAGCCACTGGTTTTCTTATGTTTATTGATGACTGCACTCGAATACATAGATATATTTAATTAAACAAAAAATGTGTTATTAGTTCTTCGATTTCTATATTCACTGCGATGATAAAAATTCAATCTAACTCTAAAATTAAATTTTTTTGGACTGATAATACGCATGATAATTTTAATCACACATTAATATTATTCTTTCAAAAAAAAGTGAATTATCTACCAATCTTCTCGCCTTGATACTCCTTAACAAAATGGAGTGACAACAAAGAGAAATCGCACATTTTGGATGTTGTAAGGACTCTTTTCCTACACAGTCAAATAAGCAAAATAATATTGTTAGAAGTTATTCTAACAACTATCTATTTAATCAATAAAATACCCTTAAGTGTAATTGATTATAAAATTAAATTAGATTATTTGAGAGAATTCTTTCCTACAAACAATTTCTCAAAGATCCCTTCACAAAATTTTGAATGCATTGCTTATGTTCATATTCATAAACAACATAGAAAAAAATTTGATCAAAGAGTTCTCAAATACATATTCATCGGATATTCCACTACACAAAAAAGATAAAAATTCTTTCTTGCATTGTGATGTTGAAGAAGAGGTCTATATGGATCCACCACTATATATTTATATCTTTTTTTAAAAAGAATCAGATATGCAGATTGAAAAAGGTTATATATGGACTAAAACAATTACCAAGAGCTTGATTTGGTAGATTTGCAAGAAATATGAATTGAGTTGGATACAAACAGAGTCATGAAAACCACACTATCTTCATAAAACACTGTTAATAATAAAATCTTAATTCTTATTGTGTATATTGACAATATAATTGTTACAGAAGTTGATTATCAAGAAAAAAAACTCCCAGAAAAAGCTTGTTGGAGAGTTAGGAAAACTCAAATATTTATTGGGAATAGAAGTTGTTAAATCTAAAGAAGCGATATTTCTTTTGTAACATAAATATATCATGGATCTGCTGAAAAAGACGACGATGACAGAGTGCAACCTTGTGAAAACTCCAACTAACCAAGATAAAAACTTGGTCTTTTTGAAGGAGGTGATGTAGATACAAGACAATATCAAATGTTAGTGGGAAAATTAATATACTTGTTTCACACATTTGCAATAAGTCTAGTTAGTCAATTCATGCACAAACCTAAATAGTTACACCTTCAAGCCGCTTATAGAATCTATAGGTATCTCAAATTAAACACACAAAGAAAAAAAAAATACAAAAGACATATACCTTACAAGCTGAATGATACACAAATGCAGACTATGCAGGATTGCTAGTGGATGGAAGGTTTACTTCAGGGTATTTTATATTTTAGGATGAAATCACATTACTTGGAGAAACAAGAACAACTTGTGGTTTCAATTCAAGTGCTGAAGCAGAGTTTAGAGTCATTGCACATGAGATTTATGAGCTTCTATAGATTAAAATTATATTAGAGGATTTAAAACTCAAGTGGAAAGAGCCCACGAAATTATATTGTGATAATAAATCAACCATCAATATTGCACAATATCCTGTACAACATGATTGTATAAAAAATGATTAAGTTGATAGACACTTTATAAAAAAGAAATTAGAAAGTGGTCTGATTTATACTTTATATGTGTCTGCAGGAATTCAACTGGCTGGCATATTCATCAAAAGACTCTATGAACCAACATTTAATAATATCATAAGCAAAATTTGAAATGGTAGATCTCTACCATCCAGTTTGAGAGGGAGTTGAATTTTTACTCTAATGATAACAAAGATCTTAAGGGATACAGATCTAGGCTCTATATCGTTAGATCAAAGCTTCGTATCGTTAGATCAGGGCACACAAATCGAGGCTCTTTATTGTTAAATCATGACATGCAAATTAAGGTTCTATACTATTAGATCAAGGCAAATGGATCGAGGCTCTTTACAGTTAGATCTATCTATCTATGACCCTCAGATTGTAGTCCATGTGTTTTTCTATAGGATCACTGTCCCTAATTATTCTTCCCTCCTTTCTCGATTTATTGCTATTTCGTAATGCGTCTGGGAGTTGTATATATGCATTGCCTCTTTTACAATAAAGTGAATGAAAATGCTTGATAGTTTTTCTCATTACCTATTTTCTACTAGAAGTTATATGCAATTTTTCATAAATACACGCACTGAAGTGAAGTTTGGAAATTATACCACATAATCCCTTCTCAGTCAAAACTTTAGTGACCTTTATTTTGTTAGTTGGCTCAACAATTCTCCTTTTGTATTTTCTTCCATCTCATTAATCATATTTATCTACTTTTAATTCAATTTAACAGACTAACATTTTTAGGGCATTTACAGACATAGCACACAAATGTAATGTATTTACATATCTCACACCTAAACTTTTATATTTACACATATAACACTCAAATTATTTGTATCAGATAAACATTAGCATTATTTTCATTGTTTTTAAGCTGAAATACAACTTTTCATGCATAAGTTTAAAGCAGAAAATGCATGTATGTAACTATAGAAGTTTAGTTGTGAGTTATGTAAATACATAAGAAGTGTGTGCTAGGTATGTAATTTTTTGGGGTTTCTAATGTATTTAAATATCTGACACCTAAACTTTGAGATTTACAAAAATTTCTTTTGGTTTAGCAGCTGCCTGCATCAATCACTTTCTCATATAAAAACTGTTCTCCTCCCTCTCTATCTCCAGTACTTACGCAGAGATAATTTCCACAACAAAGGAGGACAGGGGCAATCCGCAGCAGGCTGTTGATCAGTTCCTCACCCTCCATGCTAACCTAACCACCGCTGGCCTCGTCTCCAGCTCCCTGCACAAGACCACCGGCATTGCCGCCACCACAGGCGACTCAACCCGCTCCCCGATCACAGATGACACACACCGCATTTCCAATGATCATCGCCACCGCGCGGCCGCTTGGGTCCTCGCCGCCCTCGCAACCGATCTCTCATCCTTCACTCTATACTCCCACAAATCTAAGTCCCCCTTCTCTGTCCCCACCTCGCCGCCGGTAATGGTCACACTAGACAACCTTGCCAACGTTTTACCCCAAATGAATGCGAACCCAGCCGCTCAGACGAAGCCGCGAGGGAAGTCTGCAAAGCAGCGGGCGATTGTGGGAACAGCAAGGCGGTGGGAGAGGGGGGTTGGGGTGGAGGAGGGAGTGGAGCTGGCGAGAGCACTGGATGAGGAGGCTAAGAACTGGTTCATGGGATTTGTGGAAAGGTTTCTGGATGATGAAGCCTATGGAACTGCTGCGCAGCAGCCGTGGGATCGGGATGTCGTGGCCGGAATGCTTTCTCAGCTTAAGAAGGTGAATGATTGGCTCAATGTGGCGAAGAGGGGAGATGGAGTTGATGACGGTGGTGCGCCGCCGGAGACGGTTGACGGGTTGCGGAAGAAGATATATGATTATTTGTTGACGCATGTGGAGATCGCTGCGGTGGCGCTTGGTGGGGGTGGAAGTGCCGGCGGGAGTGCGGCGGTGGTGGCGGGTGAAATTCTGGGAAGAAAGGGTTGAGTGAAGCTAAGATCTAAGGTGCAGGAATTTATTTTGTTTTTGGGGTGAGATGGTATTATATATAGATTTTGTTTCCTACTATTTTTTTGTCTCAGAAAAGCATAGATTTCATGTTTAACGGTCTGTTTGGGGCAGCTTATAAGCGCGGGCATCGTTTTTAACGTACTGTTTGGTTCACGCGTTTCATCAGCTTATCTGAAACTGTGTTTGAGTTTTTACACTAAACGCAGGCTGCGGGTCGACCCCTGCGGCCAGCCTGCAGGTCGCGTTTCAGAATAAACAGCTTATCCTGAAACACACAAGCTGCTCCTAACGGACCCTAAGAATAGTTGCAAAGTTGGCTTAGTTTTGGGGTTAGGTTTTGTTAACATTTATAATAGAAAAATAATTTATTTCTATAAGAAATTATGAGGAATAAATTATTTTCTTAATATAATGAGATATTTCCTTTCTTATTTTATTTATTTCGTTTGATTAAGAATTATTTATTTTCCTATTTTATGTTATTTCTTATATCTCCTGATAATTAATATGAATTGATTATTGGAGATATTATGTGATATATCTTTTCTTTTATTATTTTTTCTATTATGGTATTCTTGTAAGGGTTATTTATACCCTCATTCATATCAATGAAACAATAAAATATTTCGAATTATTTTGAATTTCAACATATATCTTTTGGGGGTATTTACATAGATGTTAAGAAATAAATTTAATTATATTAGCCGCCGAAATTTTAATTATTACATCATGAGAGATTTAACCAGTTCTCATCGAATTGGGTATGAAAGAGCTGAGCCTGCTCGTTAAATCAAAGTTAAAATTATATGTTTGTGGGGGTATTTACATAGATGTTAAGAAATAAATTTAAGGATAAGCTGTTTTACCTAAGGAAATTTGAAATAAATTTAAGACATAACTTCTGGTTGCGGATATCTTTGGGAACCTAAGGAGATTTGAACTGCATGAAGTACCGGATCACCTCAATGTATAAATTTCTGGAATATA